GTGTGTATTGAAGAATGTCTTCATAATCTCATTAATCAATAGTTTAGTATCACTGCTGTGATTGAGGGGGAGTGAGTAGGAACTCAGGTTTAAGTTGAACTTAGATTGAAGTTGCATTGGGTAGGTCTTAAGTGAAAGAGATAAACTGGTTGGTTTATTCCTGAATTAATATCTCTTATAATGAATTTCCTCCCTGGCTTGGTAGCCCCCAGAGTAGGTGTTGTTACACACTGAACTGGGTTAACAATTGATTGTGTTCTTTACTATTTTTAATTTACTGTCTTGAAGTGTGTCAGATACGGTGTCATAACATTCACTGTGACATTAAGTATCTGTTTCCAGAATTTCAATTGGCATCAGAGCATGCACCCTGCCTGTCTTACTGGGTGAGATCTAGGGATATTATTTTCTGGCGCTATGGACAAGGAAGGAGAATTTGGGAACATTTTCTGGCGCTAGGGATATTATATGTTCCCAAGCTCTTTAAAAAATGATTCAGTTTCTAGAAGATTAGGAATTTATCCATGCACGGTGAATGAGGAGAAAGAGTCTGAGGCGGGGAGGGAGAGTACCCCAAAGGGTAATTACCATGATCTATGCACCCTTCTAGAATTTCATAGAGGCTCTTGTGAGTGGTGAAATTTATAGGGGTGACAATGTGGTATTTATCCTTAAAACCCTTGAAGTTTTCCATATATACATCAAACATCTTTCGGCTTGTTTGAAGGAAATCAACCCTTCAGACTTTTCAGAGTCAACACAAGTACTATGGACATGAAGAGATAAAAATAAGAGATTCAACATAGAAACACTATTCTTGTACTTGAACCAGTGTTAAAAGACTTTAATGTTAGCCCTACTCACATGATGCAATTATGAGGGGGAAATCCCGAAGTGATTCACAAATTGAACCTTAAAGTCATTGAAGGGGAGGGTGGAATAACATACATTAATGTAAAGGAAACCCGCACAGTTTGTACCTGTAGCATAACCGCTTATTACTTTTTAGATGAAGCACTCGTCAATATGAAAACAAACAACGGTGAACGTGAGTATGGAACCTTGATTGTTCATCTAACCACCATATAATTTCACCATAAGTAGGCACAAATTCGAAGGAACTTATATAACACCTAGTGTAAACTTGAGCTTTCCGCTCTTCTTTAGGACTTCCCATAGTCTTTAGTGTATCCATGGAAATTATAACAAAATTAAACCTTTTGAAACTTCTATCATATCTAGCCTAGTATAAGTGAACTCCAAATTTATGGGATAAACACATTAGGGCTCTCCATCTATGGTTCCATATTATAGATTTATCATCTCCACCTTAGTATTGGAGGATGCGCCACTAGTTTCTAAGGCACTAACAAGGTCGATAAAGGGGAATTATGGGTTTCTGTCACTCAAGAGATAATGAAAATAATAGAAAAGATAATGGTGAGAAGAAAGTAACTTATATGTTTTTGCAGTTCTGGAGAATGAAGAACAAGGTGATGATGAACAAAGAACTTGAAGCCCCAAGAGTTTCAATAATGTTCACAAGAATCTCAATGAGAATAAAAAAGATCAATTGTGTTAAAAATGAAAGAAGTAAAAAAAACCAATGCCAACAACCCTATTTATAAGCATATAGAGCGCCAAGATGAATGACCAAGAGTCAATGGAAAATAAAAAATCCACGACCAACGCTCTAGATAAAGCCTTAATTTTATAGCGACCCTGAAGTGCTCTAAGTGTGTGATTTCTTTACCCTAGGCACGTGAGAATATATTGTAACCTTCCTTGAAGCAATGTCTCACTGACACCATATGCCTTTAATATGCATGTTCCCAATACAAACCACTACTACTCATTGCCACAACAAAGTCCACTATCTTTCGAGGACATTTTATCAATAAAATTACCCCTTCAATTGAACTCATGATTGGACAAATCTCAAAGGTTTCAGCATTAACATTCCTCATTACTGATAGTAAATACTTTGAGGGACAACTGTTCCACAATGACCAACGTCTCAATAAATCCGACCTTACTACGCAGACCAATCTTAATAAAGTACTTCATTGTTCGACGAACATGTGTACCTCCTTTTGTTTATTAGCAATTAGAATTATGTTATGATTCATTTTAATTTTAAACTTATTGTTGTTGGATTTATTTTAATATTTGTTTAATGTTAGAATTTGTCTTGAGATTATATTTTGAGAGTTTATGCCGGTGGATTTGTTTGATTTTTAAAATTTGTTTAACTTTATTCGATTTATAGTGGTGCCATTACTGTTATTAATTATAATATTGAATTTGTGGATCTTGTTTGAATGTTTAATATTTTATTTTTATTTGTTTAGTTTACTCGATAATTATTGTTGAAGTTGCTGATTTGAAAAAGTTTACTAATCATTTTTGCTAATACATGTTCAATTTTTATAAAAATTATTAATATTTACGTTTGATTTCTAAATAAAATTGTGATAATTTTTTTGTTTGACGGGTCTGTTAGGAAACAAGTGCGAGTTATATTAAGAAATAAGTGTGAGTTCTAAATCTCACATTGCTTAGAAAAGTGAAGGTTGTGTACTTTATAAATGAGTGAATCCATACACCTATCATCTTAAGGTTTTGGATGAATATATGGTGTCTCTCTCATTTGTTTGGGTGAGTCTTTGATCTTTAGGTCAATATTTAACCCAATATATATGCTTCCCCCTCATGATGATCCATCAATACTATCAGAGTCCAATTCGAGTAAGGGAACAACTCCTTATGTTGAAAGTCTTCCTAACATGGTGGTCAGTCGACATGTCCTGTTGAAGTGCCCATGACGAGATACGAGTGTCTCTCAACAGCGGTACAAGTATGTGGATGAATGAGCTTCTGCTTGAGGGGGAGCATAGTGGATGGACTCACACTTGGTGGGGGGGAGAGATTATTGGGAAATAAGTATGAGTTATGTTGAGAAACAAGTGTGAGCTCTAAGTCTCACATTGCTTAGAAAAGTGAAGGTTGAGCATTTTATAAATGAGAGGACCCATACACCTATCATCTTAAGGTTTTGAGTGAATATGTGGTGTCTCTCATTTATTTGGGTGAGTCTTTGATCTTTAGGTGAGTGTTTGACTCAATGTATATGTTTCTCCCTCGTGATGACCCGTCAGTGGTATCAGAGTACAACTCAAGTAAGGTAACGACTCCTTATATCGAAAATCTTCCTGACATGGTGGTCAGTAATATGTTGATGAAAGAGATTCCGCTTGAGTGAGAGCATAATGGATAAACTCACACTTGAGGGGGGAGATTGTTGAGAAATAAATGTGAGTTCTAAGCCCCACATTACTTAGAAAAGTGAAGGTTGAACTCATACACCTATCATCTTAAAGTTTTAGGTGAATATATAGTGTCTCTCATTTATTTGGGTGAATCTTTGATCTTTAACTGAGTGTTTGATCTAATATGTATGCTTCCTCCTCATGATGACCAATCAGGATCATCCAATCTACTCGCTATTTAAGATAACTAGCTCGAGTCCAACTTATTTCTTTAGTAGGTAAATCTAATATGGATGAACTTGCTCGATTTTTCATCCTTAATCTATTTTGATATTTTTTAAGATCCCTTTTACAACATTTTATTCAAATTTTTAAATTCATCAATTGTTTCTTTAATCATATACATATGTTTGATATTATTTTCAATGAAATAAATATAAATTAATTATTTTAGAAGGTAAACTTATAAGATAATACTTCCACCTAAATAAAACATGAGAAAAAGAATTAAAGAAATTCGATATATCTGTTATAAAGAGAGTACTATATTGATTCCTTTTTTGAAGTATCGTTTTTTCTAGATTCTTTGTTCCTTTTTATTTTTCATTTTCAAAATAATGGTATAGTATATTTTTTGACTCAATTAATTATCATTATTTCGAAGTTACAAGCACTTAAGTAAGAATTTATTGTATACGGAGAAAATGTGAAACGAGACAGTGATACGTAGAAATTAAGAATATTAAAAGTAAAAGACAAATAGTTTTATAAAAAGTAACATTATTGATTAGTTTTTCTTGTAGAATTTTTAGTTGATTCTACTATGAACTTTTTAATTTTTATGATTAAGTTAAGCAACCATTATTTAAAAGCATATGCAATAATATATTTGAGATTAAATCAATCAATCTTTATTTAAAAGCAGATGAAATAACATATTTGAGATGTTAGTTTAATAGTAAGAATTCAACTTTTCCATCAGAATATATTAAACTTAAATTTCCTTAAAAGTAATTATAAAATATATTATTAATATTATTTAATTTAATTAGAAAGAAATAAAAATACTATTTTCAATGAAAAAGAAATCAATCATATAGCCTCTTAGTAAAATTCTCTCATCTAATTTAATAACAAAGATTAAAAATATTTCACATTTCTACAAAATGAACCATTATAATTCATATTAAAATTTAAATAAAACTTTATTTTTCGATAATATTGCAATTTGTATGGTAGTTTATATTTTGAAAACTTGTTACTCAAACCTAGATATTTTTAGTTTTCAAAATAATCTTTTATATATATATTAAAAATTAATAATATTATTTATAATTGGTAAATATCAGTTGAATTAAATAAATATAAATTATTAGTTTAGTGTTTATTTTTTGACTATAATATTTATTTATATTTAAATATTAATATAAATAAGTTGGTGATATTTATAAAATAATAGTTTTTAAAAAATTAGAAAGTTTTTTCTAGAAAATAAAACTTAAAAAATTTGTAATTTTGTAAAACTTTAAAAATTAAATATATTGATTTAAAAAATAATATCTTATTTTTAAATAAAAAACATAAATAATTAATTAAAAAAAAAAGTAGAAAGGTTTTGGCATCCCCATAAAACCCCTTTATATATTCTGTATACAATTTGTTTTCTCTCTATCCACAAACCAACAACACAAAACAAGTACGGAACCAAACCAACCAACCAACCAACCAACCATGTCTCGCCATCGTCGTCAGCCCTCTCGAGCTATCCCGTCGGAGATATTCGCCGCCGATGACATCTTCTCCAAACCATTCGACTTGGCTCAGGTCATTACCATCCAAGAAGATGAACCAACCACGGCTCCTCCTCCTTCTCCTTCTCCTTCTCCTGTAACCACCACCAACTCCACTCCCGCCGTCACTACTTCTCCGGTGAAATCAAACTCGCCGGCGGTTGGAAAATCTGCCTGAGTGAACTCGATCTATTATATCTCTGTTGTTTTGCTTCTGCTGGTTTTTAGTTTTCATGTGTCAGTTCTTTTCTGTTTTCAAAAAAATTAATAAAATAATGTTTAATTAGTTTTTCTCTTATTTTCTTAATCTTAGATATATTTTTACAGCAGTGAAGCTGAAGAGTCTTTGTAATAATGGTTAATGCTTATTTTAATCTATGTTTATGATGAAGATAATTATCCTTTTCTGTTATAAGTCTTATTTATTTCTCTTTGTAACTTGTTCTACTAGCTAGTACAAGCTCCACATATATAATATATTTGACTGTTTGCTTGAGAATTACTACAATGTTATAATATGAATGAAAATATACAAATATAACCGTCCGATCAAAATCTAATGGTTCAAATTTTAAAATCGATTTAGGAGTGTTTAGATGTGTGTGATTTGTATACTTGTGATGGAACATAATCTAGATCTAGAATGAGGGAAGAATAACAACATGTGTAAGGGGAAAAAACACACACATGATGAGTTATTTGAAAGTAGAAAAAAATGGATAATAATAGAGTATAATTGAGCTTCAAACAAATGTAATTTTGTTTGTGTTTGGATGTGGGGAAGGATTCCTACATGATCTTCACCCTTAAATTTTTTTTTCTTCATATTTTCTTATAACTATTTTTGATATTTTAGTATAAGGTTGAGATTAAACTGAACAATATTTTATGGGAGAAGATTCACTCTCGCTTGAATGTAATCTCAAATTATAATAAAAATATATTTTACAACTAATGTTATTCCTACACTAATAGCTACATCGACTATGTTATTCCTACACTAATAGCTACATTGCATACACAGTGTAATATATTTATACGATACATAATATTTTTTTAATAAAATAATATTAAATAATGAACAGTATTCGTGAACAATGTCAATGAACAATATTCGTGATCGTGTTCGTGAATAGTATATTAACAATAATTTTTAATAATAAAATAAAGTTGATTAATAAAATATAAAATATTAAATAATAAAATGATAAATTTGATTAATAAACAATCTGATATTAAAAATAATTTTTAATAATAAAATAAAATTAATTAATAAAATATAAAAAAATTAATTAATGAAATTATGAAATTGATTAATAAATTGTCTATACTTTTAATAGTTATGAAGTTGATTAATAAAATTTAAAAATTAATTAATAAAATTATGAAATTAATTAATCACGTAATTTTATTTCATACTTCTTCTATTTTTTTTTAAAATAAAATTATTATTTATAATATTTCACAGTTCGCCTTAGAGATGAAGAATGAAATATGATGTATGTATAAGAAAAATGACCTTAGAAAATCATTTTTCTATACTTTATATCCAATTAATCTAATAATATTTATGATTTCTTTGGTTATGCCACATTATTTCAAGATAAACTCAAAATAAGCAAAATTCTCATGTTTATGTAAAAATTTCATTTTCTAGCTTTGAAAAAGTTGTGTTAATTTTACATTGGGATGTAGTATTTCATATACAAACACAGATTTAAAATATATTTAAAATTTTTACAAACCTATGGAAGAAGGTGTAGTCATGTGCTTGCGGTAATCTAATTGTTGGGGGGAGAAATTAGGATCATTGATACATAATGTAAGAATAAATATCTTTGTAAGAGATATATCACTTATCCATCTAAAATTTTAAGGTGATAGGTGAGTGAATTCTCCCACTTATATATACTTAAGTCTCCACATTCATATTCAATGTGAAATTATTTTTCACTTACTCACACTTATTATATTATTCTAACACTTCCCCTCAAGTGTGAGTCCACACTAATCAAATATTTTTATTTAAGACTAATAAATTATATTTATTTAACTCTGTTAAAACATATCAATTGAACTATTTCACCTACCTAACTAAATTAATTTTATTGAAAAAATATTACATTTTAAGTTAAATTAATTTAAGAATTGAAATTCAGATGGGTTTATTTAAAGTTCATTTTAATGACTATCTGTTTTTTTATGAGCATTTCTCAACTATGAAATTGTAAAAGTGATTTGGTTAACAATAAGATTGAAGTATTATTTGTATAAATATGACTTTGTAAGAAAAAAATCTACCTTATAAATGATTAATAGATTTTACTATCCATTTTTTAACCAAAATGAATCAATATTTAAAAGGGATTAAATAAATACCGAGCATATTTTCTCTATCATAACATGCAAGTTCATAATTTGGACTATGAGTTTAGATTTAAACCTCATAAAAAAGTATTTAAAAACTTCACAAAATCTTATTTCATATATACTGTATGTTTATTAATATGTTTACATTAATTAATATTATGTCCATTAAAACAAATATTATATTCGTCTTTTTTGAATTAGATTGTAAATTGATCATGGAAGTCTTTGTTCATTAATTAAACTTTAGGATTTCACAAATATTATTCTCCAAAAACGTATAGGAACTCAACATCTTTGACAAATTTTATCGATTTCTAACCAAAAAAAATTAGTTTCTGTTCCGAAAGCTAGTTTTTCTTCTGTAGATTCTGATTATGATCATCTTATACCAAATATCTCTAGTGTGAAATTGGAATTTATAATAGAATGCAAAAAGAAAATGGGTACTGTGATTTTGCTTATCTAAAAACAACACATTAAATTTAACATCATTCCTTCATGACCACCAGGTATTTGCACAACACTTCAACTGTCTTTTATTAGTTGAGTGATTTGTGATGCTCCTAGTTTTTTTGTTGTAATAACATAGAGAACCGGAAGGAACACAATAATAATATGATAATATAATAAAATTTTAAAAACGGAGAAAAATTACGATTATGTTTTAATAACAATTAGAGAATAATATCATATCATATAGAAATTATTACAACACATAGATTTGTTTAACCACCCTGCAAAAGTACACTTACACTTTCAAAAGCAAATATCCAACTTATCCCTTATAGCATTCTAGCACAATAGTATAAAAGAAAAGTGTACTCATTAAAAATATAAATATGTGACAAATTTTAGTGATTAAGGATTGATAGAAGCTTTAGGATTGTTATGGTATTGAAATACAACTCATGTGAGGCGAGACACTATTATATTTATGTATTTTCCGTGTTATAGTTAATCCTTTAGTATCATGATATTATTGTATGTATAGTCTTCTGAGATCGAAATCGATTCTTCCTACGAAGTAGAAGTCACTCCACTAATAGGTGGTGATTGTCTGAAATATAAGAAGTGCATTTAGATCCCATAACCTCCTATGTAAAGTTTGATGACTCAATACACATTTTATACACGATCACGCGTTATGGATGGAGATATTAAGGGTCTGGGTGACATATCTGAAAAAGGGGTGCTCGAACTAATGCAGGGGCGTCTTAAGAAGATCGATGGGCAAAGCGTACACCTTCGCCCCACTCTGAATACCCCTTCCAATTATACAACTACAAAGTCCCTCAAATACAAAGACTTGTAGATCCTGAAGTATTTTTATCCCTTACTCACCTCTAGGTTATTCATAGGGGTCAATCGAAACTTTACTCTCACCTTCAGTTCTTGAGACATAGGCGAGTGTTCCTTGCAAGACTTACTAGATTCCCTCAAGAGAGACTTAGTTGAGTCTCTCAGATGAGACTTTGTTGAGTCTCTCAAGTGTGACTAAATTGAGTTCCTCAGGCAAGACTTAGTTGAGTTCTCCAGGTGAAACTTAGTGGAGTCTCTCATGTGAGACTTAGTTAAGTTTATCAAGCAACACTTAGTTGAGTTCCTCAAATGAGAGTTAGTTGAGTCCCTCATACACGACTTTAAATGTGAGGTGTCACCTTTGCGCGGTTGGTTCTAGGGTGTACTTTAAGGTGTCAGTGATCCAACCTATGCGTTAACTATGGGGATTTGGACAATAATAAACTTAAATAAATTAAACATTAATAAACTGAGAGAGATTGAAGCATTAATCAGGCAAGGCGTGCATTACATTAAATTCATTTCATGATGACATTTCTTGGAAAGCCAAATTCGGCTTTCCTCCCTACAAGTGCATCAAATGCATTGGATCTTTCCAATTTCTTGTAACCGTTAACACTTAGACAACAGTAGGTTACCCCCTACAACTAGACTTCCTTCCTTATAAAATCTTTTTCATCTAATCTTTTATTTTCACCCAAGTTTTTATTCACACGGCCGGGAGTTTGCACGAGTGTAAACCAAAATTTCCAAGCTTTGACTATAATTACATGTACGAATCCCTTCTTCTAGTTGTTGTACCCCAAAATTTTCCCTCTCTTTCTTCAGGAAATCATCTTGGATTCCCTCTGAAACAAATCCAAGTCCTGAATTATCATTTCTGCCCAAGCAAACCATTTACAAGAGCAGAATGATCACACAAGCTCTAAAGGCAACGCTTTTATCTTGAGAAAAATTAAATTCTAAACAGTTGGAATTTTTCTCTAAAAAATGGGTGTTCAAGAAGAAAATAGCGCTTCAGAACTTTTGGACCAAACTCCAGATAGAAACGGTCAGAAGTTACAAGCTTGGCTCAACGGTCAGAAGTTGCAAGTTTGGCTCAACGTGGTCAGAAGTTGGCTCTTCAGCAGCTACATCAACTCAGTCAGAAGTTGCAAATGTGGTTCAACACGTAAGCCTCAAACAGAACATGACTCTTTCAGCAGTTACGCAAGTTCAGCCAGAGTTTGCTAAAGGAATGCAAAAGAAGCAAGGAAGTCTGAAGGCTCCTTCAGAACATGCTGAAATCAGAAGATGAAAGGGTCAGAAGAATGGATGTCACACTGATACAGAATCTCTAAGTCCAGGATTTCCAGAAGCAAGTCCAAGGAACGTGTCAGAAAGTCAGGAGAATCCCCAGAATTTGCTAAGACAACAAAAGGCCAAGACCAGAGTATGGTTTGCGTTGTTTTTGGTAAAACAGAACTGCTGGTTCAAGTTCTTCTCCTATTACCAGAATTTTGGTATTGA